TTGCTCAGGTCCAGGTAAATGACATCTGGAACAGTTTTCAAGATGATGCACCAGACCAAGGCAGAATAGCTACGTAGCACTGAGTTTTGTTCAAAGTGTTCTTACATTAAAAAGAATTAAAGATCAAATACTAACCAGAATGTCTTCCAATTTCATATCTAGGAGATCTGTGCCTGTAACGTACTTCTTCCAGTCTTCCTGCTCTTGTCCATCTTCTCCCATATTGTCCAGGATCAGTTCAAAGAAAATAACTTTTTCAGAAATGGTACTGAATGTGTTGTCAAAGCAGAACATGTAATCCCCATCTTCTGTTTCCACCCTGTGCATACAAGGAAAATGTCATTCAATTAACTATGCTTTTTGTTCTGGTTCTCAAGAATCAAGTTTTTGTAAGCAAATGCTCCTCTTTAAGACTGACAATCATGCACTTAGAAATAACTGAAGATGCTTTTTATATTCATATTCAAATAAGAACTCAAAAGACACATTACAGATTACCCAGTCACAGCAAAACAATCTCACTGATGCCAAAGGCTTAAAATGATGAAGATGGCAGCTTAATTTTCCTTTATTGGGATTCTGAATCATTATTAATAATTACAAAAAAGCTATGAGTGGAATTCTGATACCCTATAGTAAAATTACAGTAATTACTACATATTTTGATAAAAGGACTGGAAAAATAGGGGACTTTTCAGATTATTATTTTATTAATGACTGACAACATCTTTTGATATGAGATATGGAGACCTTTTTCAACGCCACAATAATTCTAGTTCACTGACCATTAACAGCTATCATTAAAACAAAAATATCCTTCACTTCATGGTAAGATCCATGGAAAAAGTATTCAGTGTTTATAAATAGGTAACTGGTATTCTAGAACTGTCCTGTTAGAAAGTCTTTTGTAATACTAAGGAATAAAATGTACTTAACCTTTTTATATTAGTCATATTTGTTAAAGAAACCTGAAAAGTACTTTATGTAACATGTCTAAGTTGGAAGATTTTAAACTTACGTATGAACTCCATCTGATTTTCTTTCATCAAAAACTAGAGTTTCACCTTTTGGAGACAGTAGATGAAAATCAACATCTAATCCTGCTCCATCTAGAACCTGTGAAAAAAAGAAAAAACCCAACCAGTGTAATTCCTGTTTGCATAGCTGATGGATACATTTTTAGAGAAGACAAACATTTTTATGTAAGCGAACCCACACACAATCTGAAAGCTGAATCTCTTTTATGAGTTCACACCAAGTTAACTGGAAACAGATTAAAAACTGTTTCAACCCAAAAGCATTTTAGCCATTTCAAATCTTAAAGTAGGCTGGGCTTACACTGAACCTTTCCTGAACAGTTTTTAAGAACGCATACAACTTTAGCAAGGGCAGGGTTAGACAACCTGTCAGAATACAAGCAGATGGCTAAATCTACATTTCTACGGCATGCATCATTGACGGGCAAGTACTAGTTCAGTGGGAGAAATTTTACAAGAAAGGTCTGTCACTTTTATGTGTATACACCTATATATTTATACAAGAACATGATCTACGCAGTGTCATCCCTGAGATCTCTTTGTTGGGTGAATTAACAAGGTAGAAGACAGGACTAGACTTCTTAGGCACTCAAAGCTGTACTGCAGACCTCACCTTTTAATGCACATTTAAGGTCTGAGTTCTCCCAGGGCGATCTCACTTACCAAAGGTAGCAGGAACTGGAACACGTTTAGCTTCCCAAGCTCATAATAAGCGTATACAGTATTACAAAGCTGTGCCAGTTCAACTGTATAGCATGACTACAATTGTATCGCAACATCTGTTGTGTTGTAGAAATTCTCTACAGGGAAGGTAGTAACTGCATAAAGGGGCAGAGAGGAATCATTTTTATGACATTACTTAGGTCCATGCTAGGGGATTTTTTATTTTTTCTTGTTTTCCAGTGAGCTATTTGAGCATAGCAGTCTGCTCCTGCTGAAATTGAGGGCAAAGTTTATGCATACTTAAAGTCACACTGGAGACTTACCAAAAAAAAAGAGAAAGGACAAGGAAAATCAGTAGCTAATAACCGATCCAATTAAAAACCATACATAGTGATATACCTTTAGCACTATGATATAATCTAAACACCTGGAACAAAACTTCATATCAGCATAGTGTTTACTGCATTATGTCTTTGGAGAATTACCTGCATCTTACTTAAATATTCCTATGCTTTAGCCACTAACAATTCAGGATAATTAAGTATAAAATAAATTTATTTCCAATAACACAGAGCTCCTCTTCTACACATTCAAATAGAAACGTGAATTGTTACTGTTAGCAGTAGTGCTGAGAAATTTATGCCTATTATATACATCTGTTTTCTCTAAAATAAAATTTTTATTTTGATTACGATTAAAATAAAATCCCACTTTTTCAGTGCAAAATAAACTTGTTTTGCTTAGACAAGGCTCTGAACAAAGTCTGAACACCTTAATGTTTCATTCTTCTTCATTTCATAATTAGAAAATAATCAGGAATTTCAGCTTTGTGTTTTCAGTTGGGAAGCAGAGGGGAAAAAAAGGGAGGGAGGGGAAGAGACAGATCCTTGTCAATTCTGAGGCACAGTAGCAGGATGGAAAAATATTCACTGCAGCTTCCTTCACTGTACCTGTTCTACTGAAAGAAGTCTTTATTTTAAGGGGGGAAAAAAAAAAGCCCAAGATGTTTCCCAGAGCTATCTGGGGAACTGAACTCTTCCCAAGAAGGGCATCAAGACCTTAACGTTAGTCTAGCTAAATAAGACAGTTTTTGAAAAACTTTCACCGTTGAGATAAAAGGTTTAACGGCAACACAAAGATAGGAAACTAAGGGTTTTGTGCATCAGCAATTTTTGTTTATGCTTTAGAGCTGCCGCACAAGGTCACAGCCATTAACTTTCTACATTTCTGCTGGTTCAAGGGATGGCAGCTTGAGATCCCGTCGAGTAATTAACTCCCAAATCTATTTTCTTAAAAAGGATGTAAAAGTATCTTTATTCTCCCAAAGGTAATGCCGGCGTGGACTCGTCGGCGCCCCACGAGGCCAGCAGAGCCCGGCCCGGCGGCGGGTCCTGCCCGGGCCAG